AATAGTTCTAAGAATTTTATTTAAATTTTTAAGAATCATTTTTTATTCATAGATATAAAGTAGTGCAAATTGTCAAACATAGAAAAAAGTAGCTTTCAGTCTGGCAAAGCTGAAAAGAAGTATAAAAATAGAAAATTAAATTTCTTGTAGTGTTTTTATAATTAAAATTCTTCTATTACACTTTGAAAAAGATTTAAAAAAAAAAGAAAAACTTTCTTATTTTTGATTAGAAAAAGGGGACAAATTACCAAAAAAAAAAGGGGAAAAAAGGAGATAAATCATCAAAAAAAGGTGAAAAAATGACAAAATTCAAAAAAGGGACAAAAGGGACTATCTGTGATGCCTGCAATTAGAGAGCAGAGAACTTGAAGAAATATTAATTCAAAACTTGTTTCGAGAACTGTTTCCAACCTATCGATAAACATAATAACTAAAAGCAGTAATAACTAAAGCACCTGTGGGAGTTAACTTGATGACAAAAAGGGACAGCAAAAAAAGGAAAGAAATAAATAAAAGAAAGAATATGAAAAAACAGGAAAAGGGATGGAAGAAAGGAAATGAAGGGTGGGTGGGAGGGAAGCAAAGAGCACAAGTGTTGAGAGTAGAGGCATGGCAAACAAGAGAGTGCGACGACGAGAGAACCCCGGAGGAAGCAAGCCAATCAATAAACTCACTCACTAGCTCTCCTACGTTGCCACTATTACTTCCACCATCATACTCCTATATTCTCCTGCACTTGCAAGTGCCTACCCAAGCTAGAAGCCTCCATTATGTACGCCCACTCAGCTCACTATCTCTCTCACTCCCTACCTATTTCCTTCTTGTTCATTACATTTCTATCTCTCTCTCTCTTAACTGAATACAGCCATTTTGTAACCGTTCGTCTGTAACACGTTCGACATGTTCATCCCCGCGATCCAATAAAGGATTTCATCCTTTGATCTTCAGCTATCAGAAAATCAAGAATTTTATGTCGAACCAAGGTAAAAAGCACAACAGAAATCGAGTGAAATCTAAAAATCACTTTTTGAATCAGACCATCGAGGACGATATCTATTTTCTGTAGTGAGACTACTACTATACATTTATTTTCGTTTTCTTCCTGAAATCTTGATTTATAGAGAAATTTATTCCGTTCCCAAAAAGGTAGAATAAAATTTCCACTCGCGTTTGTAAATTGGAAAGTGCACTGCAATTTTTAGAATACTGATATGTAATTATAAGTTTATATAATTATACATTTATATAAGTACCTATAAAAATATCTCCAGATCTTAAAAGGGCACTTTTACCAATTAAAATCAATGCTAAAAGTGCCCTTTTAAGATCCGCAGCCTCCTTTCTATAAACAAAAATTAGTGTAATTATAAATTTAATTAACGAACATTAATTAGTATTTTAATTTTGTTGATATTCTTTTAATCGATTATCGCCAGATAATCGATTAAACGAATATCAACAAAATTAAACAACGGAAGAAAACAACAACTATACCAGTATTTTAATTAATATTACTTCAATAATTAAAATCTTACTCAAAATATTAATATCGTACTCCAATAATCTTGAAACGAATTATATTTTTTAATCACAAATAATTTTTGCGCCACAAAAAAAGACACCTAAAAAAGTGTAAAATAATTTACACCCCCGTGATATTTGAAATTGAAGAAAATAAAATAAACCTTTTCTAAATTACGAGGTGATAAATTTGTGTTTACTTAAATTGAAACCGAACGCGGCTAAGTTTTATTGTAAAAGCATGAAGCGCGCCCAACTTCTTCTTCTTCTTCTTTTTTTTCTTTTTTTTTCTTTAATCCCTTTTTCCGGAAGAAGAGAGTGGAAAAGAAGGGTCCTCGTGTTGACAGATCTCGCATATATATTTCTACTCAACGAAAGAGGGAATGATAAGCTTTCCCTCTCATCTTCACATTTTTTTTCTGACATAATACAAAGAGAAGAGAGAGAGAGAGAGAGAGAAAAAAAAAATAATAAAAAACAAGTATGACGAATAACGTCGAGAGCACTTTGTCAAATCACATTAAAATTTTCGAATACACTCTCTCTAAATCTGAATTATTTAGAAGTAACTAATTGATACTTTGGACTGACTTTTGGAATTTGAACTTTTGGCTTTTTACTTTTATAACTAAATTATATTAATTTCTTGCAAATTAAAATATAACTAATTTTTGAGTAGAAAATGAATAATCATTAGTTGAAAATAACTAATTTTGAGTAAACATAGCTGATTGTTAATAGGAAATAACTAATTAGTCAAAAATAATTAATTGTTTGTAGAAAATAACTAATTGTTAGTAGAAAATAATTAATTAGTAGTAGAAAATAATTAATTAGTAGTAGAGAATAACTAATTAAATTGGGCGCATTCCTTTCCCACCTGGTTTAGGAATGAATTTCACAAATGATTCTCTCCATGAATCTGGGAACTCAGAGTGTTGAAAACAATCATTAAGTATTGACTTAAAATAGTCAGAAAAAATAATCAATTATTAGTAAACAAATAACTAAGAAAAACGTCAAATTCGACTAATTAAACTAGTCTAGTAAACTACATGGAGAGAAAATTATATTCAATTTTGTGAAAGTATTTTACAATTTTTAATTTTGGGAAAAAATGCGACAAAGCGAAATTTTGCTATAAAAAATACTAAACTTTAAAAAAAACTTACGTGATATTTAGTATAATTATATCAAATACAAGAATTTTAGTTAAATTTTAATATAACTTTACTAAATTTCATATTATTTCTTTCCCTGTTTAGTATTTTCCATGTCAAAATTTCGGTTTGTTGCATTTTCTCCCCAAATTGTAAAGTACTTTTACAAAATTTATTATAATATTTTCTCTGCGTGCAGTAATTTTTTAGTAATTCATTCTAGTCCGACTAATTATATCCCTAAAATTTTTGAACCTTTAGAATGAACGTCAATAATTTTGTTACTACTTTTAATTTTTATATTTTATATTAAAAGACATTTTAGATTTTATAGATTAAAAAATATTAAAGAAACCAATTTTGTAACTAAATAATAATTGTTTCATTTACTTTATTTTTCATTTCATTATTCATTCTTGGAACTGTTAGAACCAAAATGATTTTAATCATTCGCGACGTTAAAAATTTTAATTAAATTAAAACAATTTTTATTAAAAAAATTCTACGACGAGAATTTAATTATTTGAATATAAAAATAAATAATTTATTGAATAATTAAATGTTCCTTAAAATTGAATTCTCATAAAGAAATTTATCAACAAATTTTTAAAGAATTAAATACTTTTGACGAATTTTAATAAAATCTGTAAGAATAATTAAATTTTCGAAAAATTCGATTAATGAAAATAATTGTATTTATCCCAAAAAAGAATTTTTTATTTATGAAAATAATTGAATTTTTCCGAAAAATTTGATAATTTATGAAAATAATTCAATTCTTCCGACGGATTTTAATAAAATCTGTAAAAATAATTAAATTTTCGAAAAATTCGATTAATTAAAATAAGTGAATTTATTCCTAAAAAGAATTTTTTTATCTATGAAAATAATTGAATTCTTTTGGAAACTTTTATTAAAATTTTTTTAAAATAATTAAATTGTTACAAAAGAATTTCATTAAAAATTTTGAAAATAATTCAATTCTTTCAAGAAATTTAATTAAAAATACATTGAAAATAATTATAATATTCTAATAACCAGTAATATTGAACGAATTTTATTAAAATTTTTAAACATAATTGAATTTCAGAGAAAAATTTATTATTCATAAAAATAATTGGATTTTTCCGAAGAATTTCAAAATTTATGAAAATAATTGAATTCTTTGAAGAACTTTAATAAAACCTTAAAAATTTTAATTAAATAAATAGCTACTCCCCTGTCAGTAATGTAATTATTTAATCAATTGTTATAAATTTCTGCTTTTAACAATTAATGCATATTATTTTTTCCCCTTACAAATTGCATTATTCATGTTGAAATATAAATGAATAATTCAATTTTTATAATAGTTTCATGGGAGTATATATTTTATAAAAGTGAAATAATACAAAATTATGAAGTAAAAATCTGAATTAAGCAGATTATTAATTATCATACAAAAAATTTAATTTAAATAGAGTAAAATTAAAATAATTAAAAAATTAATGCTTTAAGTAAACAAAAGCTAAACAAAAAGTTCGAAATATCTGAAATTGAAAAGAAACTAGTAGTTTTTTAAAATGTTTTTTAAAATTAAAAGTTTTTTTTTACTATTTTGTATTAAACGAATCGGCAGTAATTAGTAAAAATTAGTTGTTTTTTATTAATTTCAATAGTAAGAATATATAATGTAAATAATAAAGATCTTGAAATTTTTTTTAAACAAAAAATTTTAAGGTCTTTATTATTTAAATTATATGGCTTTCTACAAGAATTTATTTCAACAATATATATAATATAGTAGGCAATTATAATTTTAATTGTAGTTAAATGTAATAGGTGGGTAAATATAGCAGGTAAATATAATATGCGGTAGTTAAATGTAATAGATAGGAAAATATAGCATGTAAACATAAAATATTAGTTAAAAATAATTGCTAGGTAAATATAGTGGGTAAATATAATATAGCAGGTAAATATAGTAGGTATATATAATATAGCAGGTAAATATAGTGGGTAAATATAATACATCAGGTAAATATAATTGGTAGGTAAATATAGTATTATAATCGAGAATATAATATAAAACTAAAAATTAAATTCACGATACTTAAATTCTTTATTTCTTTATTTTTTCAAATGAAGAATAATTTATCAACTTGAAGAGTAATATCGTGTTATTGAGTAAATTTTACGAAAGAATAATAGGGAGCAAGAAAAGTCTATTAATAACGAGTGTAAATGACTCGAGGGTGGAGGTTTAAAAAAAAAAAAGAGTGTGAAACTTTGTTGAAAGCATTATTAAAGTTGTTGTAGTGAGATCATTAATTAACGTACCCATAAGCAGCAAGCGTTGGATCGTAGTATGCGTATCCGGGGGCAGCAGGTTGAAGGGCCGTTGTGCCCCATGCAGCTCCCATGTCTGCCGTCATCCCCATTCCCGTTGCATCCTTTAGACCGTATGGATTCCCCTGGAAAAGGAAACCAACATTGATTTCCGTCGTACTTCTAGAAGTGCTCTTCTCTCTTTCAAAAAACTGCAGAAAGAGAAAGTTTTGTACCACTCCATATTTTTCTCTTTCCTTTTTTTTTGCTAACAAAAAAACTTGTCTTGTTGACAAATGCAAGCACACATTTATAAATATTTCTTTTTCAGGTAAATCGATACATATCAAAAGTTGGGTTTGTGTTTTTAGAAGGGTTTACATTGAACTTAATAGTATTTTAATTTTTTTTGATTTTTGAATACTTTGGTAATTTTGCAAAATTTTGCCTTTAGAACTTAAATTTATTTACAAGTTGATAAAATGTATTTTGAATTTTAATACGAATTTCTTTTTTTTGTTAACAGGGAGAAATCTTCTGGGAGAAAAGATTGCCAAGTACTATTCACATCCGAGATTCATGTAAGTTTGTGAAATACCTTACAATTTTTAATTATTTATTACTTAGAGGAGAGAAATTTATCATTCGGCAGTAATTAAATTAAAGGTGGAAGAAGTTAACAACCTCTCCGAATCAATTGATTCGGAAAGATTGTTAACTTCTTCCACCTTTAATTTATTTATTTATAGTTGACAACTAATCAATTATTATAAAAATCTTAGTACGAGTATTCTTATACCTAAAACAGTAAAATTAGCATCGTAGATAGTAAAAATCGTAAAAATTGTCAGAAATCCCCTTTTAGGAATAAATTAGGCTTTACTAAAAGTAAAACAAAAATTACTTTAATTTTTTTCCACGGATTCAGTTAAAATTTTTTTTTGAAATTTCCCCTCTATCGGGATTAGGTGAACCACTTTCGAAAAGTGCAACAAGTTTACACCGTCGGCACGTGTTTCTATAGAGGCGCAGTTTAAGAGTTTTGATATCAATTCATGCAGCTCATCATAAAATGAGCCGCTGAATGCATTATGGCAAGCGTTAAAGCAACGCGGCATTAGGTGGCTAATGGTAGCACAATGGGATATTATTAGGACAGCTTAGAAGCTGCCTTTCCTGGCGCCAGAGAGTTTCGTATTTCAGGTCGGCTTGTCGTCGACTTAACTCTTAATTCTCATGAGGCTTTCCGTTGACTCCCTATAGTTTTTTATTTTAACCTTCTCTTTTTCTCCACCTTCTTTTTCTCCAAAAACGTATTCTTGTACTTTTTCTTCAAAAAAGTTGAGTTTTTCCCCCTTATTTTTGAACTTTTCTCATACCTTCTACTCTATTCTGAATATTTTCAATTTTTAGAATTTAAAAATGGAATTTTAGACTAAATTGTAGACCTAAATCGAAAAGACCTAAACCTAAATCAGCCTAATGAAATTTATTATTGAAATGAATGCGAAAATTATTGTGGTCTAAAAATGGAAATAACTGAGATGTGTAGATTTTTTAGAGAGTTTTGTGTGTGACCTTTTCAGAGAATTGATCGAGGAGAGTTCTTTTAGCTGTTTGCTTGTAGTTTAATAGTTTAACTCTAGCCACGTAAGGGCCACTTTAATGGGAAGCAGCGGGTGGTCCAGAACTGAACTATTGTTGAGAGTGGAAATGGAGGAGACCTTCATTGGTCACCAACAGAGCGGATTCTGGTTACGCGAGTGCATTATATGCGTGTCACGTGTATACAATCTTGAGTTTTATTTTTGCCCCCACATGCACACAATCTGCTGTGATTGATAGTTTAACAGGAAGTGCCAATTCTATTCTCGAATTAGTAAGAATTCAGAGCACTGAATATTATTTTAAAGCAAGAATATTTATCGCCAAGTGACCCACAATACCATATCGATTGGTGAATATCAATTTACTATTGAAAACTACCATCTAGAATCTTAACTATAATTATTATTACCACAAAGCAATATCGGGAATCGCAGAATTTACAATTGCCAGCAATTCGCCAAATTGCCAAAGTAGCCGAAATATTCACTAATTCAGATTTAATAAATATTTACATATTTAGATTTATTAAAGATTTATTAAAGATTTATTAAAGATTTATTAAAGATTTATTAAGGATTTATGAAAGGTTTATTAAACATTTATTAAAGGTTTATTAAAGATTTACTAAAGTTTTATTAAATATTGAATAATGTAGGATTATAAAATATTAACATACTGAAGCTAAATAGATAATTATGTTTCTGATCTGGTTCGTAAAACAATGCAGTACATAATACAGAGATCTGCTAATTAGAGTTAGCACGAACTGTTTGAAATTTCAAAGAGCTTTGTTTATAATCACAAATAACTTTCATAAACATTTTGACTAAAATTAAAGACTGTTATTGTTATTCCCAGTATAATAGAGTTTCTACAATTATACAAAAACAACAAAAGGGAAACAATGTAAAGTTTACACAACATTCTCTATACAATCAGTAAAATTAAACTTTTTGATCTTGTTTCACATTGTAATTTTTCATAATATAACTCTGGATTGCAAGAATTAAAGTAACTTTACAGGAACTGAAGCAAACAAATTTTTTAATTGATATTTTGGAAATGTGTCGTAGATCATTTAGATATTTGATGTTTTTGATTATTTAGTAAGTTAAATTAAACTGATTAGAAAAAATAATTCAAAAGAAAAAATTTGTGTGAGAAGTATTTTTTTTCTTATTTTAAAACTGAAAGAAGTCTGAGATTAAAAACAATGATGCCGTTGAAAGATTGCACAGAGCGCAAGTAAACGCGACTACAGTTGTTTTATCGAAAGGTGGACGCGTCTCGTGCAGAACCCCTTTTCATATAATGTTATAAGGGGCTCGTGACTCTAATTAAAAGGTGAAAAAGTTTGTCAGAAAGAAAAAGAGGTTAGACGCGTGCAGGTATCAGTTTGATTAATGTCGGCCCTTTGCATGAATTATTGCACATTTTACGGTTACTTTCACTATAATAGTACAGAGACTCTGTAACACTTAACAAAATTAACATTTATAATTACAAATAATGAAGAATATCAACAACGGTTATAAATTATTTAAATATCCGTTTTTCTTTCGGAATAAAAGAACCGCGTCGACAAGATTTATAATTTCTTTGTGTAAATTTTCAATTGGGTGTTATATATTAAAGAAACATTTTTATTGCAGTAGAAAACAAAATTTTTTTGTTTTACATTTTCAATTCTTTAATTTTTTAAAGTTCATTGATTGGCAATTAGAATAGTTCATTGATTGGCAATTAGAATAGTTCATTGATTGGCAATTAGAATGGTTCATTGATTAGCAATTAGAATAGTTCTTTTGATTGACTATTAGAATAGTTCTTTTGATCCAAAATTAAAAAATAGTTCTTTAATCCAAAATTAAAAATAGTTCTTTTGATCAAAAATTAAGAAATAGAACGATTCGCAAATTCTGAAAGGCAGTTAGTTTATGTAAATTTTGAAATGTTTTATTTTCTATGTACAACATTCAGTTGTTTAGTAGAATATAATTTAATTATACAAGAAAGGGCGAGAAAGCAGAGCTTTGACGTAATGAAGCCGTAGGGTGTTGTCAACGTGGGTTACTGTGATATCTGATTTTTTAGTTTTGCCTTATTGTCAGAGATGTCGTGACTGTTTGTTATATTGTCACTATTGCTACGCTAGTGGCAATTAATTAATTTTTAATAAAATTAAAAAATTACCAACGTTAATTAATTAAATATAATTTTGAATTAAATATAAAAAATATTAAACATATAGTACTCAAATCTTTAATTTCCATTTTGCTTTTTATTGTGAACTGTATAATTGTTATAATTAATTACTAACAGTAAAACATAGAAAATAAAGAAAAGAGTAAAAAGAAATAGTTATATAAGTGAAATTGGTGTGTATTTTCACTTTTTTCAAGGCAGGAGACCACCATGAAAGGTTGTAAAAGGTCTTCTCTTTCTCGTTGGCCTTATTGCCCCCCGCCCATTTCATTCAATGCTAATCCGTTTCTTATTATATTATAATGCCCGTCGTTACGACGCTCAATGCTCGCCGCGTTGTGAAACGAATCATCGAGAGAGCACGTGCCCCTCCGACGTCAGAACACCATTACCACCCTCTCGCAAATTCACCCCCGAGTATTCACAAAAATATTTAAATTACGGAAAAACCCCTCTCAGACAATTTCTTCTTAAATTCAATGAATTCCTTCCCGGGCACTAAAAAGCGAGCTAAAAAGTTAATAACTATTTTTATATTCACACTCAACAAAAAATTACACTCTTTCCTAATTTTAAAAATTCGAATCTAAAAACACAAAATTCATTACTTTCAGTTTAATTCTACGCATGAAAACATTTAAATTGAATTGAATAATTATAATTTCAAGAAATTATTTTCCAAACCAAATTAAAATTTCAAAGAGAGAAAAATGCCTACTATCAATTATTATCTATATTAGTTCCTTTTTTAAGTGCATATATATCAAGTCCACTGGACATTTCTTCTCGTCAAAATTCTCAAAATTCCCGTTAAGATATTTATGACGTGCCGCAGCTGGTTTCCACTTCCTTTATGCCAGCGAATGATAATCGTCGCGTGCTCGAAATTGCGCGTCGCTAAAATTCCACGAAACGAGTATATAGAGAGAGAGTGTGTACCAAACAAACGTATAGATATAGGTATAAACAAGTTTAGTGAAACCCTTGCGTTGATGGGGCACCCTTTCTACTAAACTGCGATAATAATCAAAATCGTGACTTTTCGATGTATCGACGAATATCTCGCGACAAATTGTCCCCATATATACTTCGTGAATGTGTATTTTTTCTTTTTGTTCTAAAAAAAAAGAAAAATATCGAGGACGATAATGATTATAGAATAATCAGTACAAACATCTTATTTCGCTAATGACGAGGAGAAGGTATAAAGAAAGTTGCGCGGTTTAAAATTGGATTATATTACGTAATTTTATTATTAAACTACTAATTAGTATAATTTAATTAAACCATACTTTCTTTCCTATTGGTCTCTTTTTTTATTATTCTCTTTTATTGTTAGTCGTTTCTCCATTATTTAAACCGTTGGTAATACCTTCTTTTAAACAGCAAGCAAATAGTT